TTGCTTTCCCGGAACGCAGGTACGACACACACGTTTACAGATAGGGCGCACATGAAGAAGAGCTATACTAATATTATCTGATAATATTAGTATAGTTTTTTTTTTCACATTTATGCCATTGTAGAAGAAACAAATAATAACGAAACTCACAATGTTCACGGGCTGAACACTAAAAACCAGTTTTAGGAAAATTAACTATTTTCAAAAATATGTAGTCGTGGAAAACGTTATTAAGATATTCCCTTCCAAATTTTACCTACTTTTGCAAATGTTTTGCTTAATAATTACGTTAAAATTATAAATTATAGAAAGCAAGAGTACCGCCACTCCAATTCTAATTCAGCTAACTGTAAGACAGCAAAAATCCGTAAACCAGAAAAGTTCAAATTGTAATTAATTTTTTCTAATGGGATTGCAGGGCTATTGGCGAACCCCAAGAAAAGGTTATGCGCCTTGGCAATACCTCAATAGTGGTGTGGAAATTTGCCTAAATAAAATTACAATTATCGAAATGAAATTCATATAGGTAGGTATCAATATTTACCTAACCTATTGTCTTTTCTATTTTGTTCTTAATACCTACATGTTGAAGTGTATTTTAAATAACGTCAATACTATCAGTGATGAACAAATGTTAATTATTTAATAATTTAATTCATTTTTATCGTAATGGGTGTCTAAAAATCATGTGTAACGACGTGTAGTAATAACAGCTATGACTCGCATAATAGGACTCTCACATCGAAGCAATGCGCTGTTGCCACACAAGAGTTTCATCTCAGTTGTCGAATATTGGGTTTTTATTGAATTAAGGGCGCCTGGTGCCATAAGCGATAGGCAGATCTTTTATATTTTTACTGAACTGTTCCAAGAACTTGGATTTGGCTGCACAATATTCTGGTCTAACATTTCTTTAATATATTTATCAAATTCGTGTTTTCGAATTTTAGTGCAAAAATTTTTGTAAAAAATGGTTGGGTTTAGTTTGTATCTATGGTGTTTATGTGGATATGTGAATGATAGTTTGAATCCTGGTAGATAAAATACTTCTTGGAAACGTTTAAAAGTACTTACAATTTCTTCTTTTCCTTTATTCATAAGATGTTCCACCTAATATTGTCACAGATCTTTTTATTGCACAGCATTTTAATGTCATGTTCCGTATTTGAAAGAATTTTATTGTTGATGAAATTGATATCATCATATTCTTGGAATTCTTCAACTTCAGTAAATGGATTAGAAATTATTATATCGTAATCGTTCAAATTTACAATAGTGGTTTGACCGTTACCTTCGTTATCTACATTTAACAGACAAATTGAAATGATCACACTACTAGTTAAAATGGATTTTCTACATATTTGTTACAAATTGTTCGTTTAGAAATTTTGAGGTAATAATTTGCCTTATAACTTAACCTCTTAAAGTGGACTTTTCTTATTTCATAAATAATAAAATTTTATTTTAAATTAATTATACTATCATGTTGATTAAAGAACTCGTAACCTAATAATCCATTGGTTTTTATTTCTAAATCTGCAACATGTAATTCGAATCTGATTTCTCTATATATTGTGTTTAACATATTGTCAGTTTTGCCATTAACTCTGGCGATTTCCATTGACGTTTTAGTATTTACTTGATTCTTATACTTGTCAAGCAGTAATTCGCTGTTTTTACTGTCAATTTTAAAATCTATTATAGACAAACTTTTAACTTTAAGCTTATGACTAACAGAGTTTTAATTTTGAAGACTCTTGTTCGTCGTATCGAGATGCACATTTACAATCAGATCGACTACTATCATTAAATATAACTTCAGTTTCGATTACTTTAATTTCTTTTTACTTCTATTTTTTATTTTTATTTTTATTTCTTTTGAAACATGTCAATGGTATGACCAGAAAATTTACAATACTTGCATTTAATTGAACTGCGATCAACATTGACAATTTCTTCTACCTTCATGAGTTTAGTTCATTCATACATACTGTTGGTTTGCAATTTTGAATATTGAAATCCTTTCTAAATTTAATACTTTTCTCCTCTTCATTTACTTTTTCAATAACATTGTTTAGTGACTTAGAAGAATGGGTTTTAACAGTTTTGGTAAGGATGTTAAACATTTAGGCGATGATAATCTTTCGTCTAATTGACAAGGGTCAGTGATGATTTCGGTTGAGGCAGCTATTTTAATCTACCTCGGATTTTTGAAAAGGATTGCCTACATTTCTAGAACTATCATTGAATATACGGCGAAGTAGTTCTGAAATGTAAAGATTGATCAGATACGAATTGTTGTTTTACAAATAAAATCTCCAAGAGTTTTTCGAGAACTGATACGGCTCTACGTGAGACTACTTTTTCAACTTGAGAATCTACCGAATTATATACAAGATGTTTCATATCCTAAATTTTACGAGGGTTATATATCATATTCTAGTCCTGTTGAAATTAGAAAGTTAAGCGAAATATTGCCATCAATTCTAAATAGCGAGCTTGATGCATAATTTGTGTCGTTCTCATATTCAGTCCATGAAGGAAGTTGATTCACCATTTAAAGACATCAATCAGTTGTTAAACACTTAATAGAATTGAATCAAAAAGACAAAATAATTTTGTTCGTAAACACTGTAAATTCTTACTGATGTATAAATAAATATTTAAATGTGGTTTAATAACAGAAGCGGACTTACCCCTTAAGAACTCCATTCCATTAATTCTTAAAAAAAAAATGGTATTCGGAAGTCAATTATTTCCAAATTCGCTGTATAACCAAAGATTCTTTAATAGAATCTTAAAACAGTGGGTGATTTTTTTTCTGAAGTTTTTTAGAGTCGCTGGTTTATCCTCACATAACGCACTTTTTACGTAACCTTTAACGTAGGTTTCAAAAAGCGTATACCATCTTCATAGTCACAAATGTAAGATGTCATGATTGAAAGAACTTTTTAAAAAGAATTTGTTTTCAACGCTGGATGAGCGCAATATAAAATTTATGAGCAAACTTGTACATTGGACACTGACGATTAAAGTAGACCACTAACATTTCATGTCATAAAATGGCGGCAGATGTAGAGCTAGGTTCGTTGCCGTCTCCGATACAATTTAAATGTTGCAAAGATAAACAAAAATCGGGAGTTTGTGTTTGCCTGTTGTGTAGTTCAGTATTTCATATTAGTTGTGCAGAAAGAAAAAAAATACAAGGAGTTGGTGGAATATTTGTAATTTGTGGGTGCAATGATGAACTAACGTCCAAACTAGCAAAATACATCAGATTAAATCAGGGATCTCAAGATATTGTGTGTAAATTAGTAAATGTACTGGATAAATGCAATAATGATTTGTTGTCAGCACAGGAGAGAAAAGAATACTACAAAAAAGAAAGTCAATGTCTCAAGGCTGAAATAAACAGATTAAATCAATTGAACTCAAATCAAACTGAAAATATTAATGAAAATAATCAAACCGAAATAGATAATTTAAAAGAAAAANATATTTTACTGGTTCTATATGAACAAACTGGCAACAAATATTAAAAAAACTTCTTTCATGACTTTTGGTAAATATGAGGACTCAGTACCCTTAGACTTTTAGTAACAGTTGATGGAACTGACATTAGTAGGAAAACTGAGATCGGTTATCTAGGACTTAAGTTAGACAGTAAATTACGTTGGGATATTCATATAAGTAGCATTATAAAAAAAACAAAATACCTGTTGTACGTTTTTCATTGACTTAGATATTTACTAAACACTAGTCAATTATTAAATGTTTATTATGCTCTTTTCCACAACACAGCAACTTACGGCATCTTGGTCTGGGGATCTGCTTATAAAAATGTACTGGGTCCTCTACAGTCTTTACAAAAGCGATTACTTAAAATAATTTTTAAAAAAAAATTGGAAGAAGTAAAAATTGAAATTAGACCGTTAAAAATAGAACAAGACTACATATTTAAATGTGTAACCTATGAATATAGTCCATTCAAGGAAAAGTATTTGACCAGTAAAAGTATAACTGGAAACAAAAGTATTTCATTACCGAATTGCAAATTGAATAGTGGTAAATGCCGATACAAACATGTAGCTACTACTACATTTAATGCTCTACCAGATTCGCTTAAAACATTAAACGGTGAACTAAAAAATTGGTGTAAAAATTTATAGACATATAACATTCCAAATTAACATTCCTTTCTTTTTTTTTATATATAAGCTTCATAATAATTTAAATTGATATGTATGCTTACTACCAAATTTCAATCTAGTTTTTAAGCTATTTTAAGTTTCTTAATTACACAACGTCAGTGTACGGGCATGTGTAGTGCCTCCTTGCTGGCAACTTACTTCACTTTCTTATA